TTACTTCTCTTTTTGATAAAGTGTCTTGCAAAGATGTTCCTAGGATTACTTGCTGCATAAAACCAGTTACTTGTTCGGTACGCATTGCAGAGTTGTAGACTTCACGCCTTCTGTCAACGTCCATCAGACTTTGCAAGTCAACTCGAGTCGGATGAATTGCTAAATGGTTGAGAAATGATCTTCCTCAGCACTATGGCATTTGATAGCCAGAAGGTTAGCCTTAAAAATACACCAGCAGAGGCAAATGGAAACATCATCTGCTTATAGTTTACATGCCTCGAAACATCGGTACCACAAGATTTCACGATCAAAATGAGTCCAGAGTCGGTGTTTTTACCGGTAGTGAATTGTGATACCTACTTGCTGCACTGTAAGTTGAGCTGTGAGAAGTCATGCTGAAAAATAAAAGGAAGAGCATAACAATGAACAGCGAGATTGTTTACGCAGTTCGGTGTCACATCACACCTATATCTGCGGGGCGTTGCCCAGAAAATAAAAATCACTATTGAACTGACAGTAGAAGATACATTTAGTATGAATTCTCCTCAAACAACCTTTCCCACTAGACATTGTATAAACGCTCTTTACAAAGAAAAAGACAATCCCAAAAACGCATCACAAAAGGAAACTTGTTGGTGAGTAGACTTTATTGTCTTCTCATGGACTTGATGAAGAAGTTGTTTTTGAGTAGATTTGATGTTCCAAATGCATGGAGGATTGCAGGCCCTTATAAAGGCTCTAATCAATTTCGTATGTGCAAAAACAATAAACCTGCAAGTTCCGTACTCGATATTTTAAAACTTATCTCGTTTAGATCGAACGTCATCAGAACGTAGAAGCACTTACTCTGTTACTAAACACAACTTCATATTCTGTGCAGCAATGGTGGCCAACCACAAAGCCGTTGTCTATGTTTTTACGGTGCGAGTTTTCCCGCAAACAAAATACACCCCCAACCCTTTTCCTTGTTAACGTAACTGTTTATTGATGGATTGTGCATGCATGAAAAGCAGACATAAATAATGATATGGAAGAATTAGAACTTGAAAAGAGGATGGTGGTGGATAAGAATGTTTGAAGCGGCATTCAATTTTCTGAAGTAGATTTTTCTGTCTGGATACTTGTAGCCAACCTTAAATATATTGTCTTAAGGCTTGCTAGTTCGATTTACTTTTATTGTGGTTTTTTTGCATGGAATTGCTTGAATCGATTTGTAATCATAAACAACATATGCTCTCCATACTTCATTGATATGCTTAACTAGTTTGTTCCGAAAGTAGGATTATTTGTGCACATGTCATAGACTCATAGGTGTTTCATTCTTTCCAGGCTAGTGTCAGAGAAAGTGAATGGCGTTCACTGGAGGAAGACATAATCCCATCATTGTCTACTTCCAGGTCCAACAGGCTGGACTTACAATCAAAGCATATACCACGAAAGTATAAAGAATCAAATATTTGTGTGGCAGGAGGTATGAAGATGTTAATAATTGTTTTCTAAACTTAGAATTCTGTCAAAACAAATAATTGGAAGGTTTTTGGCTGGCAGCTGGTTCAAATTTTCTGTAGCAACCATGCATTCTGCGCATATTAGACAGTGAGGCCAGCTTCATAGTTTATTGTTTCCTAACTAACTGGATAGGCCCAAACTTGAACCAAGGGATCCTTTACTGCTAATTTTGTGTTCAAGGTTCTTATTGCTCTATGCAAATTCTCTTAACCAATGTATTCTTTATATTAGGTAATTCTCTTCTTCAACTGTCTTTTAAATATTTGGAGTATGACTATTAGAATTTTAGGGTAGAATGCATGAACTTGATTCATATATGCTACACGAGCTTATATTCTGTGTTGGAAAAAATGCTATTGGCTGAGAGTGAGAATTTTCAAGGATTTATAGTTAATGCATGAACTTGATTCATATATGCTACATGAGCTTGTATTCTTTGTATTGGCAATAATGCTATTAGCAGTGACAGAGAATTTTTCAGGGATTTATAGTTCAATCTAGATTTCCTGTACAGATCCTTTCCTAAATTAGAGTCGAGGATTTTGCATTCCTGGGATGGAATTTTAGATTGAATTATTAATTTGAAATCTCAAACTTTTACCTATAGTTTTTTGGGGGTACATTCTTGTGTTTGCAGAAGAAATAAAAGTGGATATTGAATTTAAAAACCCTCTGCAAATTCCAATTTCTGTCTCAAGTGTTTCTCTGATGTGTGAGCTCTCTGCAAATCCTGAAGAAGGCAAGCTTTCAGAGTCTGTTAACGTTTTCTTTAAAGCCTTATTTCTTTCATCGTCCCTTTCAACTCTATATTGATCATAATTGTTTGTGTTACATCAATTACCACACAGATGCTGATAGTTCAAACATTGAGCTTCCGGAAAATGAAAGCAAAACATCAACCTCCACTGGGTGTGTGTTGCTGTGTTCCTATATATGGGTGTATATATGCATACATGCATTGATTTCCTGTCAAGGTACAGTTTTCTTTACCCAATTTAGCATTATAATCTTTCTATATTGCCGTTGACTGACTTAGTGTCAACTGTCTCATTCTGAAAAAAAATCAATATGTATCTTTATATTGTATTTGTATGGGTGTCATTTCCCTAGAGTAATGAAAGCTAGCTAGCCCAGAGTGCCCCTGGCATCAAGTTGATGATAGTGGGCCATTTGCTTGCCTTGATCAATGGTTGAACTATGGAGAAACATAATCATGTTAAATTTTTTGGTTATCTATTATATGTAGTACTATTTGCGGGGACGGAACCAGGATCAAACCATGGGAGTGGCCAAATGACCTAATTTCAAAACTACAAGGATCCATTAAGTATTAAACTCGAAAATTGGGGAGAGGGTGCGCTTGATTTATCTAAATTTTAAACTTATAGGGACCTAAATTGCCATTGGACCATTTTTTTTGGGGGTGTGGGGCAGGGCCCTTCACATGTTCCATTTAGTTTGCTTGGTCTAGCCTCAAGTGATGCCTGAGCTTGGCAGGGACTAATTACTGCAGTTTCCCTCGTATATGCACATTCATGCTGCTGTGACTTTAGATCATGATGGTATTCTTTTGAACCTAAGCCAACTTCAATGTTCATCGATAAAAACTTAACAAACTGTAAATGATCAGGCAAGGGTTAAATCTGGGGCTTGGTCGCTGTCCAGACTAGAGCAACATGATCTGTTTTGCATAAGTTGTAATTCCACCTTATATTAGTCCATCGACCTTATATCCTTTTAGTGTAAGTATGCTATAGGCCACATAATAAGCGTCTTAAAAGTTTGTTCTGTTCGTCATCTTGAATTCTTCGATTGCCGAGTAAATACTTGTTTGTTTGTTTCTGCTTTTTCACCAGTTGACTTAAAACTCTACTCTGGTTTTCCCTTCAGGATCGGAGGTCATCAACTTCTGAAGATGGTACTCCACCTTCCCCTGTTCAAAGTGATGTAAGATTGGGCCCTCGGGATAGTAGCGAACCCCCCTTTGATGTATGGAGTTCACCTTTGGCTGATTTCCATGACCGAAATATCGTGTAACCTTTTTGTAAGTTGATTTTGTTTTCATCACTCAACTGCCGAAGGGTAGTATTGATTCCAAACACGCCACTTGTCCTTTCCCATCATGCTTGTGATTGCAGGTAGGACTCGGGTAACCGCAACAACTTTTAACGATGAAGGTGAAACTTATTTCCGACGTTTGTTTCTATTTCCTTTTTTTTCTTCTCTGGCAGTCTTTCTGGCATGAGTCCGATATCGTGGGTAGTGGATGGACCTCGGATCATTCAACGTAACTTATGTGAAGTAAATTGGAAGATGACTATAACCAACTCCTCCGGTTCAGTCGCATCAGTCCATATCAACACCTTCATTCCCCCACTAGTAACACCCAACCCATAGACGATGCCACTGCATCTCAGCCTCCGGAAAACCAAGCGGGGTGGTCGGATACTCCCATTGCCAGCGATACAAAGATCATCACAAATGATGCCCTTGCAACACGATCTTCCAAGTCACCGTCTCTCGAAAGTGCCCCCCAGTTCATTTGGTCAGGGACGAGCTCTACTAAACTCATACTTCAACCTAGGTCGACCGCCGAAATCCCTCTTCAGATTTGTGCTTTCGCTCCGGGGATATACGACCTGTCGAACTACGTTTTGAATTGTGTTACATCCGTGTTACACTTCAATATAAGGGCTTGTTAAATGTTCAAACTTAAAATTTGGGGTGAAATTTAATTTGTATAATATTTAAAATTAGGGTAAAGTACACAAATAGTCCCCTGACTATAGGATAATATTTTATTTAGTCTATTGACTATTAAAAGTTATAAAATAGTTCCTCGATTATAAGGTGTTGCTTTGTTGAGTCCTTTGACTATTGAAAGTTATAAAATGATCATCTAACTATTATATATTCCAAACTCATCTTTTTTGTTAAAAAAATTGACAATAATCTGAGTTGGAGGTTAGATTGCTCATTGAGATATGATAAAATCTGATCTCATAATCTCAAACGACTATCATACTCAATCACTTATTAACGTTCAGCTCAGACTATCATTAATGTTTAACGAAAAGGATGAGTTTGAAACATAATAAATAGTCTAGTGATCATTTTACAACTTTTAAAAGTCGAGAGATTCAACAAAACAACATCATATAATCGGATAATCATTTTATAACTTTAATAGTTGAAAGACTCAACGAAATAGTATCTTATTGCTGGGGACCATTTGTATATTTTATCCTTAAAATTACAAATATCTAAGTTGTCAATAGACTAACAATTTTGTAGGACTAAGTTTTGTGGGACTAATCACGGCCCCTCCCACCCCTTTTTTAACTCTGCCCATGTTCAAATGATTCCATTTTTGTATGAAAAGTTTGATTAAATTAAAAAAACACTAAAAAATCGATCTATTTAAAATTTTTACTTGAAAATAAACTAAAACATGAAAAACAAATAAAAATTAAGAAACATAATATCCTTCAGTACACTATTATGTTCACAAACATAACAATTCATGAACACAAATTCAGCATATTTAAAACACCATAACCAAACTTTCATAGTTTTTAATGGATCAAACGGAAACACACATAATATAGTCTGATCCATATATATATATATATATATATATATATATTTCAGCATCTTCAGCCAGTGGCAAAGAAGAGCTTACTTGAGCCAAGAATGATTTGCCCAGCAACCAAAGCCTGTGCTGCAAAAAACCCCTATAAGAGCCAGTGCAAACCCAAGATCTTCCCTTGGTTGCTTCAGAGGGGGGAAAAGTGGTTTTCGGTTAGCACCGAATCCCACAATGACCCCCGCAGCGATGTCAAACTTTCGGGTTGCAACGGCAGTCGGCAGTTGCAACCATAACAGTGCCTCGACGATCGTTGATCATTGATGGGAGAGACTCGACCGATAGTCCGAGATGGTCGATAAAGAAGTGGTGGTCGAGGTCACCACTGGAGTACATGCCGGTGACCTCCGATGACCCTGAAAATGTAGCACATACATTAAGTCTCTTGGATGAGTTTAAGGTTCCACTATCAGATGAAGCCGTTGGGTTAGAAATCAGTCCCTGTGCTGAATTCTTCATCCCAAGGCCACCTTTGTCGGAACTCGAACTTCGGGTATTCAGGAACCGGCCGCCGGATCCCCTTGGCCGGCGCATTGCATGCAGATGGCGAGAGTGGTGCATATATGGCTGTGAAACAAAAATGCAGACCCTAAATAAGTTGTGATATTTCACAAATCTTCATGTGAACACCAAGAATCTTATACTAATGGACTATGATAGTTCTCTTTATCCAAACTAAACATACTCGTATCGAATATATTCATATCCGACACTTACACTCGAATGTAACACGTACCTTTCGGGCTTTAGTCCATTTATTCTCAAGCACAGCCTTTGCACGAGACTGCCGACGCCTCATGATTCCATTGTATTGCTTGGCGTTTACGTATATTGGTCCCTCTTCGGATCCCAAGTTGAATGGCAGCATTACACGACCCTATTTAAAATATACGATCATAACATAATGAAAGATTTTAAATAAGAATATAATCAATGACAGATTCATAAATATTTTTAAAGATTCACATACATATATAACAATAATATCATGACATATGAATATCAAACGTGATTAATATTTATTTTATATATATAATATATTCATTTGAAATATCATGTTCTTATAATTTATGAAGATATTTCAAGAAGAATAATGAGATTCCGAGATATACAACAATATGTGCTAGCTGTATAATCCAGAGAAAATGGAAAACAAACCGAGATTCGAGCCCCATAAGTTGAGAAAACTCCATAGAATTGATCCAAGCAAGGATATTTTGCACAAGCCTGCAGTTCACAAGGGGAAAGGAATATTATTAACGTTTTCATTTTGGTCACTCAAGCTAGCTTCCGTTTTCATTTTGGTCATCTGTGTTTAATTTCGTTAGTATAATGACGTGTCGTTTCTTGATTGATTGAAAAAAATGAAATAATTATTCGAAGGGGTGGAACTAGGATTCAAACCCTATTTGCAAACCTATTTTAAATCCCAGCTCCATCCCTCCAAACAATTGTTTTTTTTTCTAAACCAACCAAGAGGTGACACGTGTTCGGTGGCCAACATGATATTCTTTTATAAATTGAATGGCTGACTGTATAACTTGTCGTATTAAAAAATAACATGAACATAATTCGAATATATGAATATTTATAATCTTTTTAGCACTTTTACAAAAATTTCTGGGCATTTATACAATAAAGTTCGTGAGAAAATGTACCATGGGCTGACCAAATCCTAGTTCAAGCGAGCACAATTTTCTGGAGGATCTGATTGCAGAGAGATGTCTGCCTGAGGTTTATGTTCATCCCCTGAATTTTAGCACTCCCATTAATTGAAACACCAATTGGCTGGTTAGTAATTTTCGTTACATTAATGATTTTGTGTTATTCGAATTTTTAGAAAACATCGGATATGAATACATATATTTATTCAATAAGAGCATAGTTTATATATAAAGAGAAAGAGGGCCATACATTTATTAATTTATATCTAAATCTAAATATATGTCGAAAGTAAATATTAAACGCGAATATTTTTTTTATTAATCTAGGGTGTTTAAAAGTGGTAGTATATACTTTAAAGAATCTATGAACACTCGAATACCGTACAGTCTTTAGTACTCGAACCTGCGACCTCTAAGAATAGCAATTATGCCTTTAGTCACTAAGGTAGCTTTGTTCGTGTATTAAAAGCAATATATAAAGAATCAATATATATAACCACATAATCATTTTTTTCTTTGTTGAATTCTATGTTGATGGAAGGTAAAGAAACCAAATATTCATTTTTTAATAACAATCTATGTAATACGTAGTTATGATGTTTCGATTCTTTATTTTTCTTGAAGTTACTATATTTTTTATGACATCATGCTAAATTAGCCATTAACATTTATCAAAATGGTCATTTTGCTCCCTATGCACCTAACGTTTCATTTTAGGGTAATAACGTCCCTAATATTTGACAAAATAATTACTTTATCACTTACTCTTTTTCTCTTGGACATTTTAGTCCTTAATGTTTTATTTTAGGTTAAAAAGGCTCTTATTTTGTTAATCATGTGATAACTAATGGTTTTATCTATAGAAGGAGCTTTTTGTCCCAAAGTCAAACATTGGGGCCAAAATGCTCCCAAAAAAAGAATAGGGACCAAAATGACCATCTTGATAAATGTTAGGCTATTTTTGGTATTATGCCATTTGATATTTATGTCTAACACATAAATATGAGAATATGACCTCTAAAAATTCCCCAATGCATGAGAATACTGAATTATACGGGAATATCCAAATGCATGAAAATATTTTACTCGACTTCCACAATCTTTATTTCTCTCCAAATTAATCAATGTTAAAATTTAATTCGACTCGATAAATAATAAAACTAGATTTTGTTAAAAAAATCTGTTAACAATCTATTCGATTTTTTAAATTAAATTAATCAAGTTTTTTTTTAATTTATGAAATACTTTATAGGTAAAACTAGACAAATTAGTCTTAATAATAAATTCATAGATAAAAAGGGGGGGACAAGCTTTTCAAGTGATGAAAGTTGAAACTGGAAATTGGTATGAGATTTACCTGGGAAAATAGTGAACTGTTGTTGTTTGGTAGAAGAAGATGATCTCCATTAGAGGGATGCTCCATCAACAAAGGCTTCAATTGAGCACCAAAAGCCCCACCTCCTTGAAAGGATTGATGAGTCCCCCATGGCAGTGATGATGGAACTGAAGCCATTGCCTGATTTCCAATCCCATCATGCTCTTTGATATTCAGAGTTTGCATTATGTTTCAATTATATCAAACTATTCTCCTGCAACATAGAAACTTAGAATCAAACATTCATCACAAGATTTTCCTAAATTTTTTCTAAAAACAACAACAAATTCAGAGTTTAATTCAGTTGATTTATACATATAACAGTCAGAAATTAGCATAAAACGAATCTAAGTTGATTAATCAGCTGATTCGTATAATCACAGTTGATAAAAAATAACATTTAACTGATCTAGGAACTCGAATCTTAGCATTTGCAGAACTAATCCATCTCTAATCATCATTCAACATATGAAAAATCCAAAAAGAAACACCCCAAAATCTCATATCTGAAAAGCAATATGAATCGAGTTAAAAGGAAAGAAACCCATGAATCCTAATGAGCAAAGAAGGTAACAGAGACAATAAATCAAACAGATAGAGATCATCAGAGACTAAACAAAAAGAAGGAGAAGAACAACTAACATAAAGAGTGAAAACAAGAAAAGATGCATAGATTTAGCGAACAAGGCGAAGAAATCCCGGTTGTTAGGAGTCATGTCGGCATAAATTTAAGCAAAAGGAATCATGAGAGAGAGGCAATTGACGGCCATTGATGAAAGCTTACTTCTCACAAGTGTAATCAGTGGAAATACACGCCACTCACCAATCAGCTTCAATTTTCATGCAAAGCTACTTTGTACTACGAACAATGTTATGTTATGTATATATATATATATATATAATATTTATATTTAATGCACTTACCAATTGGCCGTATAAATATATAGTTTATTATAATTTTCAATAAAACAAAATCAAACAAACAAATGACATTGTCAGAACTCCATAAGTTCATTTGTTTCTCTCATTTATATATTATTATAACCATATGTAAAAGTAAAGTATATAAATGGTTTCCGAACAAATGATATCGATTATATATATTATTTTATCAAGTTAATTAACTATTAAAAGATATTATTTTATCGAGTTTATTGACTGTTAAAAGTTATAAAATAGTCTTTCGATTATATAATGTTATTTTGTTGAGTCCATCAACTAGTAAAAGTTATAAAATGATCACTCAACTATTCATTATGTTTCAAATTCGTCGTTTTCTATTAAAAATTTGATTTCATTTTTAATTGAACGTTAACATGCTGATCGTAATATGATAAAATTGATCCTAGAATCTCAAACGACTATCATATCTCAATTATCATGTTAACGTCCAACTTAGACGATCGTCATTTTTAACGGAAAGGGATGAGTTTGGAACGTAATGAATAGTCAAGCGATCATTTTATAACTTTTAATAGCCGAAAACTTAAAAAAGCATTATTCTAACTTTTAATAGTCAAAACACTTAATAAACCAATACCCGATAGTCGGAGATCTTTTGTATACTTTAACCCATAACTATTTATATTTGACAAATTAATTGATTAATTTAAATTAAATATTATATAAATTGATAATTGAATTTTTTTAAATTAATTTTTCTTATCATAAAACAAGTTGTAAAATTAATCATTTTTTTGCGAAGGGCACCTTGTATGTATTAAAATATAAAAACATACAAAGACAACGACTAGGGTCGAGGTCTCGTTAAAAACCTCATAAACTTAAATGGAGGAAAAAGAGTACCCAAACCAAAATCATTCGAAAAATAAAATTTAATATCTTTTATAAGATATTGTAGCATTTATACTATATAAAATATATATGAAAATAAGACTTAATATAATGGTACATATAGTGTTATTGACAAAAATATATGGGAAAGACCCCTAAAAGATGCCATCAAAAGTCATGACTGGGTCCCATACCATATAATATACTTATCATTTAGCTTAACTTTTACAGATGTAACATTTTGGTAGGTAAAGCATTGGATTAGACCCATTATCTAACAACTGGGACAAAAGTCTATTGTCTTATTGAACCACTAGTACAAAATTAATGGTGAGTATATGTTAATTATAATTTTAATTATAATTAATATAGTTAAATAATTAATAAAATATTGTTTAAATAAATATTTATTTTATCAATTGAGTCTTAGTTCAGTTAACTATGTTATTATATATAGGAGCACGTCGATTCAAGTGTGCATAACTATATAATATCTCACAACTTACGGATAGAGATGAATGGTATATATTTTGATTATTATAAATAAAATAATAAATAGTGAATATGTATGGATAGGGTCAAATTCATAATTTTGTGTTATAAATAAGAATTTATAAAAAAACAGGAACTATGAAAAATAAATAATCAATAGAAGAATGTAACAAAAAAATATCTAAACTATACGTGTACATAAAATGAGGTGTATATAAGAAGGGTAAATTACAAATTTGGTAATTGAATTTTACTTTTTTTCATATTTTACTCGTTGTACTTTAAATTTTTCAATTTCCTCATTGAATTTAATATTTTGATTTTTTTGCCACTCAATGGTTTTCTCAATAACATCGTTATAAATGAGCTTTTATGTAGATGCAAAACGATGTCGCTTTGGTGAATTTTTTTAAAACTACATCGTTTTGATGCCATTAATTATTTAACAACATAATGAAAAAAAATTCGATGTATTAAATTTAGTGAGAAATTGAAAACTTTTAAGTTCAGTGAGCAAAATAAGAGAGATTAAAATTTAGAGGTGAAATTTGTACATCGTTTCAATCCAAGTTATATTAAATTCCGAATCACCTAATTTAATTTATGAGTTTTTAAAGTTGTTGATCAGATTGACTTTATTTTAAGAAAAACAATTCTTTCTTTTTTGTTGATCTTATTTTTTTTACAAATTTGATAATATATAGTAATAATATAATAATAATAATAATAATAATAATAATAATAATAAATGGTACCACTGACAATTTCCTGCTAATAAACTTTGGAACAATTAACCAAAGCAAATTAAACACTTTTTTTATTTTAAAAATGCAGTCTAAAAAATAAAAAATATTGTATTTAATGGATTTTAAATTTTAGAATATCATTTAAAAATAATTCAATAAAATATCGTTTTTTGATTTAGCAAAGTTTATGAGTGAAAAGCTGAAATTTTCCCCAAGTGTTTTGTTGAACTAAATTGACTCTTTTCACTCACTTATCTTATGAGAAACAAGAGAATCATACCATATTTTATTGATTACTAATTATGGAATTATTTCTTTAATACAATTATGGGACAAAAGTTTCCTATAATTATCTAATTAATTTAATGATAAAAGGTGAGATATTTTTTTCGGTTAAGATAAGGTGATTACAAAGTAGTATCTGTTTTAAATACTATCAATCATTGCAGCCGTTGGTGTTTGAACCGTGACCTCTAAGAACAACGACGATTTCTTTAACTACTAAGGAAAGTTGGTTCGTACAACTGAGATATTTTTTATTATATAATACGAGTTCAAACAATTATATATATATATATATAAATTTATTTAAATTGAAAATGGAATATCGATACTCCTCAAATTGAACTAGAATACTTAGAAATATACATGATCATGTTATCCAATCTTATGGTTTCGTTTTTGCAATGTAATTTTTTTGGAAAACTGTTTTAATAAAAAAATATTTTTTTTTTATTTTTTTAAACTTAAAAAAATCATATTTGAAATTTGACTATTTAATTAACGATTTAATTAATTAAAAATCCAATAATGTTATTCAGATTTAATATGTAATAATAAACTAGTTAAAAAAAACTCACAAAACCTGCCATGTTTATCTAAACCAAAAACTTCCTATGGGTTATGAAGATTGCCACGTGTCAGTTATTGGAGCAGGTGATGTCGTGCTGGCACGCACACATCCATCCAAATCTCACGTAGATATTTTCAACAACAAAAAAATCTCACGTAGAGAAAGTATGTACTTTTGTCTCCATGCTCTGTTAGATATTGCATTCCACGTCATCAACCTTTTTTTCTTTGAAAACTCAACCTCGTTTGGATTTAGTTAGGGATGGCAAGAGATAAGGTTGTATAGAATTTTAGTTAAACCGATATATGTATCCTCTATTTGAATTTGACCCGATCTAAAATATATATATATTCCATTTGACTTGAACCGATAAGAAAATGTATATCTTCCACTCGATTTGACCTAACTCAAATTTTTAGCGAATAAATCTAACCCGACCTGATCCTATATAAAATAAAGATTTAATAAAAAAATTATAATTTTTCAAAGAAAATACATAATTATCCCTATATCAAGTCGAGTTGGAGTTTTTTCATTTTTGACTCAACCCGACTCGATCTGAACTCAATTTTTTTAAAATAAATCAATTCTATCAAATTGAATGGGTGGAAAGCCCCTCGGAAGTAAATACATCAAAGTCAGGGTGGAAAATGCAAAGGATTTCATGCACTTTTCCCCCCCTTAGATTTTCTTCTTTGGAATAATTAAACTAATGGTTTATTGGAAAGCAACTTAGGGTGGAAGTAAGAGGGATTGCCACTAATAAGTGATGTTATTAGATATTAATAAACAAGTTTTATAATTGATGTGACAATGTATAAATCTATAATAATCTTTTATAAATCATATAAATTAAAAAAATGTTAGTCCCCTCAAATAAGGGTTTATATTAGTGATAAATAGTTTTATAATTGATGTGACAAAGTTTTGATATAATAACACTTTAAGTCCTTTTTAGCTTAAATATTAATCAAATAAAACTTTAGTCCCTCTCAATTTTTAGAATTAAATGCTTAATAGATTCTTGTTCTTTTGATACGAAACATCTTTGTCCCCTTCAACAAATGAATCCTAGCTCCGTCCCTGTCAATAACCACTTGGAAGAGTAGGGTGTGGCCTTAATTTTTTTAAGCAATATCACGGATTCGAACCCTTACGTTTGCTAATGAAAAAATTGAGTTAGGAGGGTCGTCTTATATTAAATCTCTTTGGTACTTGATCTAAGTTAATCGAGTAATAGATCATAAATAGATAATTATATAAAAAATTTGAAAAATATGACATTAAATTATTAATAAAAATACAAAAAATCTAAACAACACTGCTTAATCTTATCCCTGCTTATGTTATTATTCACATGCAAATTATACAAGTTGCAACTAAAATTTAGTATAATAGAGTAGAAATTTTTGGATATCCAATTATCTAAATTATAAAATACGATAAATTATAATCATACAATTTAGTTATATAGTGTAGGGATGGGCATAAGATTCGGGCTCAATGGGTTCCGACTAGACCCGATCTTATAAATTCATTTTTTTTGAAAAAATATGTATAGTTTGATTCTAGTCAGGTTTTTTTTAAAGATAATATCGTGTCAGGTTCGAGTTTAAAGTGAAAAAAAATATCATACTCAATATGAGATAATAGTGTAATTATCCCTTATATGTTTATCGATAATTATAATAGTACCCCTTTATCAATATATTTTTCTAATTAGATCACTAATTTACTTACTAAAAATGAGAATTATATATATTTGTGATAATCGAGTTAGATATAGATTTTTACCTCTAAAATTGAATTGAATTTCTGATTGGATGGATCCTTCCTAAACTCGAGTCTGGTCGAGTGTCGGATGGAGGGATAGAATACTCGAATCGACCAAGAAATCAGTATAACCCGATCCATGCCCATCCTTATGATATTTTCTTTCTATTGTTTGAATTGCAACTGAAATTTTAAAATTTGAAAGTAGACAATTAAATTTGATTAAATTAAAATTAAAATATTACATTAATATATAAAATATATTTTAAGGGATATGGTCCACTAACCTTTAATTTTAATTTTACACGCTATTAGAATTATTAAATAAATGAAAATATATTATTGTGAATTGAGGTTAACTGCAATAAAATTTACACATATGAACCAAGTCTTTTCGTTTGAATAGTCTGAGATTATTATACAGTAACACATATTCATAATATTTCTTAATAATTGATAAAGTATACACTATACAAATATAATCGTTCGAACTCGAAATTTGAAAACAACTCTTTTTTTAACTAAGAAAGCCACTCAATAAGTTGAACGGAAGCCACTCAAAAGTACGATAGTACTAACAGTGAAAGACAAAATTATTAGGGCTTGAACTGCAATCTTTGATGTCAACACTTTAACTATAATTATTTCTAAACATAAATTATTTCCCATGAGTTTCACATTTCGGCCTGTCCTATGTCATGTTTTCTTTGACTTTGTTACAACTTAAAACCATACGGCCATGGCTGACCAAAAACAGCTCTTTTGATACCCCATCGATCCTTCTCCCTTGCATGAAATGAACACAACCTCGGACTCCGACCAGGAATTCTTTGGTGGCCCCGACAACGTCAGAGGATTCGGATATGGGATCGGAGTTTCCGTCGGGATCATCTTCTGTATCATCGCCGTTGCATTGGCTTCCTACGGTTGGACCAAGGCACGTCAACAAAGACGAGCCCTACTTCCTGTGCGGTTGATACCGACAGCTTCGTCGTCGATGTCGTAGGCCTCGACGAGGAAACGATAAAAAGCTACCCGAAGCTAATGTACTCCGAGGCCAGGCGGAAGAAGAAAGAGTGTGCGGATGCGTGCTGCTCTATATGGTTGGCTCACTACAAGGGTAATGATCGCCTTAGGCTGCTGCCTGGTCGCGGCCATTTGTTCCATCTCAAGTGCGTCGACCACTGGTTGCGGTTGCACGCGACGTGTCCTGTTTGCCGGACGTCTCTGCTCCCAACGCAGTTGCCGCCGCCGCTTGCTAATGATCAGGTGGTTCCTTCGCCAAGCAGACCCGATGCGGGCATCGAGGCATTTGATGAAAAAGTCAAAAAATTCATCGTTGATTTAAGATAATTGAGGTATTTTTTTTTGTTGAAATAAAACCCTAAATTACGTTCAAAATATCAAAAAGGTGTGGACCGAAAAGTTTAGGTCTCATCGGTTAATGGATGAGACAGTCGACAAGCCCGTCCCTTAAATTTTTAACGACATGTACTAAAATAAAATAAAAAATAAGACGTCAAGTATAAATTTGAAAAAATTAAAAGTTTAAGTACTAAAACTAATAATTTAGGTAATAAACTTACAAGTTACCTCAACTTATAATTCGTTTTTTAGTAAATTGAACATTAATTTAGTTTTCATTCATAAAATTATGAGCAAAGTATATTTAAGTGTATTTATTTTAATTTAAGGATTGTAAAACTATATTTGAAGAGGCGACTTAAAAAATTTGAGGAATTGAACAAAAATTAAGGGTCGTGGGATCGAGTCTCACGGAAGACATTTCATAATTCGGAAGTCTCTTACGGAAGCTGTTCTCAACCTGACGTTGGGGTAGTCTACTATCCTACCTGAGCTCTTGAGCCGACTTCAGTAATTTGTAGCTACAAACAAAACTTTTTGTTTAATAATACAAATTCAAATTCAACATGAACCCATCAAAAAATAAAAAATATATATATACAAATTGCAATGTATATAATAAGAGAGAAAATTTTGTTCAAAGGGCTTTACATTGAAGAATCCCTTTATACAAAACCTGCCTATTGAGAGGCATTTTAAGAAGCTGTCGTCTATCAGCCTGCTTTGCAAAGGCCACAGCACTCAGATTCCTCTTCCTGTATTCTTTGTTATTCGACGATGGCTCCCGAACATCATCGGCAAAACGAACCCTTTTCTTCACTTGACATTTCCCATTCCCTGCACCAAAAACAAACCCAGAATTTCATTCATGCAGTACATATGTATGTGCGTGTATGCATGTATTACCAGCCAATTCGAATTCGATCTTGTTCATGAAATCCGAGAGGAGGCGTTTATGGACTTCATTTGCAATGAAGACCACACTTCCAGAAACTGCAAAGACTGCCATGAGGCCTAGCCTTAAGGACCCAGTTTCCATTTTTCTTTTAAATTCTTACTGAACAAATGGATCAATCAAGGAATGATGGGGAAACATTTGGTTGAACATATGAAGAGAGATAGAGAGAGAACGATGAAGAGAATGGGTTGGTGGATGGATGGTTTTTAAATGTGAAGATTATGAAACAACAAGGATGAAATGATAATTACTATCTAATAATACACATCATCTTGCCTTGTATGCTTAATTTTGACTTATCCTTGAAATAAATTCTCTAAAAAAATAAACTCAGATTTGGTCATTTTTAGATAATAACTAAACAACAACATTAATGCTGAAATCTAGTGCAACTAATTTCTATTTTGTAAATCTGGGGGCCTAAAAGAATACCAATGCCATATATTCACCAGATTTTATCACACAAATCTAAAACGAAATCCATCTTACTAATTATTGCAACTATGTAAAGATGTATGCTGATTTTAGTAAATATCGCGAACTCGATACCTTTGCCCTAGAATTTTTATGAGAAAATCTGACCGGCCCTCCCCTTGGATTTGAACCAGACACGAGTTATCTTGTCATCCGTAATTGTAAGTTCTCACTTCTCACCAGTAGTCCATACAAGAACATGAACCTTCTCTAAAATGATGGAACCGGTTCCGGTCTCTCACGATCAACTCACGTCCGAAAACCATTGAAATCAGCTTCGTAGCATGGTGACAATCCTCGCACACTCGCAAGTTCTTCACTATTCGGATCACTGTTGGAGCCTTGGTTCTCATAATCCCATAAGCAATAGCAAGCTTCTCACTATGTCTATGAAGAGCACTTTCTTTTTCTTCCTCATCAATGTCGAAGAATGCATCAGATGTATTCCCTGTATAACCTGCCAATCTTATCCTCTGAAGAATCTTGTCCCAAGTTCGTTCAATCATTTCGATTTCTGTGTGCGACTTTTCTCCCATCGTAAATTTATGAACTTTCCCGTTGAACTCGATCAAACTATAACCCGGCTGCTTTTTAACACCCTTTTCCTTCATCATCTGTCTAGTAGCTTCAACATTTTCCCACCTGTTTGTACGTGCATAAATGTTTGAAAGCAACACATAATACCCACTGTGTTTTGGCAACAAAGGGATCAATATGTTCCCTACTCTTTCTGCAATTTCTGCATTCTTATGAATCCAGCAAGCTCCAAGAAGCGCACCCCAAATCGGGGCATTCGGTTTCACCGGTATTTGAAGAACAAACTTCTCGGCTTCAGCTATCTTCCCTGCTCGCCCGAGCAAATCCACGACGCAACCGTAATGTTCAAACCTCGGCTTGATTCTGTACTCTCTTTTCATGCTCTCAAACAACTCTAGACCTCTCTCTACTAATCCACCATGGCTGCAAGCAGATAACAAATATGTAAACGTAATATCTCTGGGTTTTACCCGGATTTCGCCATTTCCGAGAAGAACCAAAGTGCCCTCTCTGCATAACCATGCATGGCCAAACCAGCAATAACAGCAGTCCAACTAAGAACATCTTTTTCAGGCATTTCGTTGAAAACTTCAATAGCTTTCTCAATACACCCACATCTTGCATACATATCCACCAAAGCAGTCCCCAGAATCACATTCAAACTCAATTTGTTCTTAACGATATAATCATGAGCTTTTTCACCTAATCCAATGGCACCCAAATGAGCATAAGAAGAAATCACACTAACCATAACCGTCTCATTAGCTTTGACCCCTTTTTCCTTCAGAACCTCAAACATTTCAACAGCTTCATCAAAGCAATCGTTCTTAGCATACCCACTAATCATCGTACTCCAAGTAACCAAGTTCCGCTCAGGCATTTTATCGAAAAGTTCACGTGCTATTACAACATCACCAATTTTATTAAACCCAGCCATTATCGAAGTCCACGAAACCACATTCGGACAAGCCATTCGTTTAAACACTTCATTTGCAGCCTTTACATCCCCACAGGTCGAATACATGTGAACTAAAGAGTTCTGCACATAAACATCGTTTTCAAACCCGTGTTTTATAACCTGCCCATGAGCTTGAATCCCCACATCAATGGCTTCCAACTGGGAACACGCCCTTACCAAAAACGGGAAGCTGAGATTATCTGGAACAATGCCGACGCGTAACAATTCGGAATAGAAACGGAAAGACTCAATCGGGTTCACTCGAAAACCCTTTGATCATAGCGTTGTAGATGAAGAGATTCGGGGTTTCGATCGAGGAAAAAACATCTTTAGCGTAATCCAATGAAAATGTTCCGAATGAAGGGTCTGTACAAAGGGAAATCAAACGACTGACGGCGAAGATGTCGAAGATGATGTGGGTTTATCATGTAGCCATGGATGATCTTCAACTGGGATAAATCGTTGCAGGATTCAAGTAATAGAAGCTTTGGGTCCTTTAATCTTAGGGTGTTCAACACTTTGCTGCAGACATTGATGCTCTTGTTCATCCTCTGGTTATCCCAGTTGTTTAATTCAGACCAAACAAAAGAACTAGCAACAATGGCAGAGCTGTTTATACGCGGGAAACATTATACGTTCACACCAAGAAAAATAAAAGGTAGAATGATCATGTTAGCCCCTTAACTCAACAGATTAGTCATTTTAACTCTTAAACTTTTATATTTTATCAAAATGATACAAATGTTACCTATTTATTTTTTGATATAATTTTATATTAATGATACGATTTTTTTAAAAAACAAATACTGAACCCATTAAAAATTTGAGTTAATTGTATCACATGTTCTTAAAGTATAACTTTTATTTTAAAGGTATAATGTCAAAATTAGCCTCTTAATGTTTCAAATGGTCATTTTGCCCCTTATTTTATTTTTTTATCCGTTTTGGATTTAACATTTCTTTTCAGGACAAAAAGACTCCTAACATTTGATAAAATAATTACTTTGTCCATTATAGGGGACATTTTGGGACGATTAGGTACTTGGCCCTTGTCGAGGCGGATCGAATGCTTGATATGGGTTTTGAGCCACAAAACTGGAAGATAGTGGAACAAATGGATATGCCTAATCGGAGCGTGAGACAAACAATGTTGTTTAGTGCCACCTTTCCAAGAGAGAAACAGGTTGTTTATAATTGTTAAATATGTTTTCTTTGTTGATTCACGTTTTATGTGCTATTTGGGTGCTGAAGTTGTATTTTTTTTTTTACATTTTCCACTCATATGTTTCACGCTCATAATTGTAAAATGTTTCAAGTTCTTCTGATATGTGATTTTGGTTGGGTGGGGTTGTGTTATTCCTCTTTCAAAACGTACCAACCCAAAATGAAGTGAAAATGTTATATTTTATTGCTTTAGAATAGTTTTCAAATGCAGCTTTGATGCTAATAGAGTTTTCCATAATACATATTCTTGGCTGTTGGGAGGGTTGGCTCAAGTACAGATTTACTTGTTCAAAGAGTTGAATTTGTTCCCGAATCTGATAAGAGAAGCCATCTCACGGATCTTCTGCATGCACAGAGGGAAAATGGGGAGCATGGAAAGGTAACGCAAGACGACCATGTATGGACTTTCTTATGTTCCTTTATCCATGTATCTTTCAATCAAAGATAGTTGCTCTGTTACTCGGTATATTTGCTTGATGAATAATTTCTGTCTGGGGTGTGTCTTTGACGCAGCAAGCTTTGACTTTAGTTTTTGTGGAGACTAAAAAATGAGCTGACTCATTGGAGCACTGGCTGTGCATTAATGGATTCCCATCAACCACCATCCTTGGTGATAGGAGTCAACAGGTAATTTGTTGATAAATAAATTTGTTGAAGAGATGTGAAAGAATGAGGTTTAGTCATGTGGAATGATATACTTGTTCGTTTAATTGCTGTGCTAGTTGATATGATAAACATTCTGTTGCCTATGTTATATCCAAGTCTTATTTTCTCCATTGAGCATTACTTCCATTCAAGTGGCTCTAGACTATGTAGCTTAGACTCGAGTTTGAGTGTCGGATATGAGTATATGTCCACCATGGGCATGTTCAGTTTCCTTTTATGTTTTCCATGTATTTGGAGGATCTTTGGGGACTCGTCTCATACCTTTGTTTGTATTCACGCCAGACACTTGAGGATTACGAAAATTAGACAAAAGATCTAGATTTTGCATTATGTTATCTAGTAGATATACTTATCCATGTCTTTGGTGGGTGGTGCTGTATGTGTTCATTCACTCTTGTATTCAATTCCTCTTAGAGATCCATTCACTATTCGAAAAACGTCTCGGATAAGTTTTCTAAGAGCCTAACCAGGTAGTTGAGCAGCCTTGGCTTGTGAGAGTTAATTTTGGTTATTCTCGCTGCTGAATTAAAATTCTAGTACCCAGAAGGGGCTGTTAACTTTGCTTTGTTCGTTTTAGTTTGGCTTATGAAGAAGTTACTGTGGTGATTTGCTATTTACCTTCCTTTACCCAGTATACGTCTTTGCATAAATGCCACGGGCTTGTTTGTATGCAGGAAAGGGAACTAGCGTTGAGATCTTTCAAGAGCGGAAAGACCCCAATTTTAGTAGCAACTGATGTGGCTGCTCGGGGTCTTGATATACCCCGCGTTGCTCACATTGCCAACTTCGATCTTCCCAATGACTACGTCCACCGGATTGGTAGGACCGGGCGTGCTGGTAAAACAGGGTTGGCAACTGCTTTCTTTAACGAGAGCAATATGACACTGGCGAGGCCACTGGCTGAGCTGATGCAAGAAGCAAATCAAGAAGTACCTGCATGGCTCACCCATTATGCCTCTCGGGCTCCATATGGTAAGAGCATAGGATGCAAAATTAGTATGAAACCAACCCAATTATAAGTATAGGGTGATAAAAGAAGAGATGGCATTTACAGGCCTTCATTGTGTAAATATGATCTATTTTTACTGAAAGAAGCATAATGTGTCATAGTTTTCCATTATTATGTTGCTTTTCTTGACGTTCAATTATCTGTAACCAATTCTTCATCTCCAAGTACTGCCTTTTCTGAGCCAAAACAAAGAATTAAAAACGACATTTTATCAAATTAACAAAGTTTTTCAAAGGCAAATACAGCCCTAAATAAATAAAGACAACAACAATTGGTCTAGTGACCAATAAAGTTCAATTTTAAAAGTTCGGTGGGAAAATTAAATTTTTAATAATTCAATGATCAAAACGAGATTGATCCTATAGTTCAAGTACTGGTGTTGTAGTTTAGCCTTATATTTATTAATTTATATCACATTGCTGTGATTAAGAACTTTGGCATGGATGGACCTGGGATGAAACTTCGAGATCCAAAAGTAAATATTTATTTAATCTTTTTAATTAGGTAACACAATAAGATTAATTCACGTCACGTATTATCACGTTATCAAAAGATTAAATTTAAATAATAATATAAAATAATTTTAATACTAAATTTAAAAGGTAAAAAGACATCATAGTTCCTTGTATTTTAAAAAGAACAATGTAACTCTCATATCATTTTTTCTCTTAATGTGACCTTCAAACTCAGTAAACTAATTTAATGTGACTTTTTGACTAACGTTTTTTCATCGTTGACCGTTATGGTGTTGGCGTGGCAGTTTACGATGTTGACATGACAGTTCACGGTGCTGACGTGACGGTCTATCTACCATGTTTGAGTTACCAATTTAGCCTATCTATCATGTCATCTGCCACGTTAGCACTGTAACGATCAACGACGAAAAACATTGATCAAATAACCACATTATATTTTGTTTTATGAGTTGAAGGATCACATTAAAAGAAAAATAACACGATGACCATATTATTTTTTAAGTAAATAGACTTCTATACATTTTGGTCAATTAAAAAATATATCAATTTCAAGAATTAATGTTTTTTTTTTCATGTTGAAAAGGTAGCTAATATGATTTTGTATTACCCGTTTAAGGAGTCTCCTGCTTCACTTCAAATAGTAAAAAGCTCGACTTAGTAACACACTCGACAGTAACGTTTGAGCAGATTAGGTTGTCTGTCCTTTCCAAAAACATAGCTTAGCTTGTATGATTATAAAACCATCTGCTCTTTAAGTCGAATGCTTCTCATTTTTGTTATTTTTTTTTTAATTTTTTTAACTATTAAAAGTCATAAAATAATCATAAATTATTTATTACGTTTAAAACTAATCTTTTTATATTAAAAATAATGATAATTTGAGTTAGAGTTGATGTGACAGTCAAACGGTCGTCTATCACTACCACCGCACCGAACGGAGACGACGCCGTCATCGTTGGTGCTTTGGCTACGCGGATTGTGGTGGCGTCTTTTCCGGCGACGATGTCGTGGAAGTAGAAATGGAGGTGGCTTAGTTTCTCGGGTTTGTTTAGCCCCATGGACGACGGGGACAGAACTTGAGCGAAAGGCTTTGATTCTACGGTGATGAAGGGTGAAGATAACGAGAGGACCGTGAGGAGGAAGACGGCGGTGGAGGAGAGATTTAGGAGGAGCTCCGCCATGGTTGAGGCGGTGAAAGCATTCGAAGTTGAAATATAAAATAGCGTCTTCTTTTGTTGGAGAATATAAAATAGGTTGTGGGTGCACAGTTATACGCCACCGGCAAGCTAGCATCAGTCTGCGACGAGAAAGCATAAATCCCTTGCGCTTTCCCCACGAGTTCGGACGCTATATCGCAGTCGACCGTCAAAGGGTCATCGAGCGCCACCACCACACCGAACGGCGACGCCGTGGTCGTCGTCGGTGCTTGCGCTACGCGGGCGGCGGTGGCGTTTTTGCCGAGGACGATGTCGTGGAAGTAGAAATGGAGATGGCTTGGATTCTCTGGTTTGTTTAGCGCCAGGGACGGTGGCGAAGGACGAAGTTAACGTGAGAACTGAGAGGAAGAAGGCGGCGGAGTGTTTTAGGAGGAGCTCCGCCATGGATGAGGCAATGAAAGCTTGTGACAATTAATGTAAATTGTAAGCAATGTATGTATGTATATTATATAGTGTTCATGTTTAAGTGAAGGTTGGTACCAATCGCTGTAAAACACAATATAAATTATGTAATAAAGAGATTTCGTAAGAAAAAAGTTTCACATTATTCCAAATTTATATACCAAGTGGTTAAGTCAAAAAGATTTATTTAGTGGAACGTCAACTCTAATTAATGAAGTTTGAAAATTTTTAATAATTATATTTTATTTTTTTATACAATGTCTAAACTGTTGCACATTATATTGGTAAAAATATCAACTAACTTATTAAGTGGTTATAAGAATCGTTGTTATTCTTAAAGATAATGAGTTCAAATACCAATAACTACATTAAGATGATTTAGTGTTTATTATTAAATGAATAATAAATGAGGCCCTATCATCAATCACAAGTACAAGAAATAAACCTAATATCTCGTACATCAAGAAAAAAATACATCTCCTGTACTTTACTTATAATATTTATTATAGGATAAATTATACATTTATGATTAAATTATCAATTTTGATCCGTTTTAATACTTAAAATTTTAATTTTTTTAAAATTATATATAACATTTAGTTTTTTGTTTCATTTTAATACTGCGGTTAAAAATTTAACGATGAATTTTTGAAACAAATTGGAAGTTTAGTCACTAAAAAGGACTAAAACTAATAGTTTAAGTAGTAAATGTGTTAAGTTTTTAATGATGGGGTATTAAATAAAATAAAAATTAAACATTAATTATGAATTTGAAAAAATGAAATTTAGATACAAAAACTCGTAATTTAATAACTCGGAGATTATAAATTCAAGCACTAGTTACTGTAATAGGATATAGAGCATTCGTTATTAAATAATTAAAAATATTTAAAACAAATATGACTTTATAATCCCCTAACTTAATAAAAAAATTCTTTATACAACTTTTATATAAAATAATTAAGATTTATTTAGAATCATTTAAGAACAACTATTTAAGAATTAAACAAGAGACTAATATTTTATCATTTCATCTATAATCATTTCTTAAATAAATTTATATCAATATTGAATTTTATATAAAATATTTTTTTATTTACATTACGAGTGTGACAAAACAAAAATTATTTATCAAATTCCAATAGAGCTTTCAAAAAATGAAGAATAAAATGGGGAAGGGAAGATGAAACACTTGGAAACCCTAATTTGTAAAGGCAAAGATAAGAGGGACAGATCCATAGAAAAGGATTACAACATTTCAATCAGAGAATAAAAAGCTGAGAATTCTTTGTAAGATAAGTAAATGCGATATAAAATGGAAAGCGGTTAACAGGAAGAAGAAGAAGAAGAAAACTAGTATGGTGCTGTTCCGTGACATCGAGATGTGATCCGAAATCTTTACAAGGTCCCCTAGTTCAGTCGTCTCCTCCTATGCGCCCGAGAGTCGCCGCTGTCGACATCCGAGACCCTCAAGACGTCATTTCTTCTCCTGGAAGATGAAGTCGAGACCGATACCACGGAATCTATCTCGACCGCGGTGTCCATTTGACTCTCTGAGTTTATTACGGCAGCAATGCTTGAGAACGAGTCTCTATCATCGACGACTGCTGGTGGCTGTTCCTGATTTCTTCCCACCGAGTTGCCTCGGAAATATGCGTCAGCCATCCTTTCCGCTGACCTCATAAATCTTGCAGCTCTTCGCATGTATGATCGTCGTTGAAAAGATTGAATCCGAGAGGACATAGCATCGGTACCGCTTGAACTGCCAGGCGTCAAGTCAACATCATCAAGGGGCACAACCGCATTTTGCTCTCCCCGGAACTCACGAGATGTCAAAATCCTGTTAAGCATGGAATCAGTCCTTTCTAAAGTCCCTCGGGAACCATTGGCTTCCCGTGGTGGAGTCAGGTCACGAACCATATCAAATCTGCTTCCAATCCGGCGAATCATCTCCTCCACTGGGATATTTAAAGGAGTCCGTTGAATAGTTTGCCTCCAACTATCCACTCGCCGTCCAGAGGGCCGAGGAGGGATCTTAAAACCTGAATCCTCTTCTGACTCGTGGATAACCTTCCCTCGACCAAATATCGGGGTCAGAGTTTTAACAGTCACCTCCCCTTTGCAGACGGGGCATTCATTTGCATCCGAATGAACATGCAACCATCGGTAGAGGCACGACCAACAATACAAGTGACCACAACAAGATACAACAGGATCCCGAGCCAAATCCAAGCATATATTACAATCGAAAAAACTCCCATCATTGCTAACACCATTCACAATATCATCCTTTCTACCTTCTGAAACTCCATCCTCAGAAAACCCATTGGTGGCTTCACAAGCCTTCGGCGCATCACTCATCCTTTCCTCAGCTGCAACACTGCCCTCACCTGCCTGCATCGTATTCACACTGCCCGTATTCACCCTAAATTGATCGAATTCCACCGAGAGGCTCTGAGTTGCAGCAGGAATTGGAACCTGATGCCATCTCCATCGCCTTCGCCTAACTGCTTCCCGGATCCTATCAAACCGGTTATCAACTAAATCATCAAAATTTACACCTTCATTCGACAGCGATCTGGACCCGGTCTCGGGCGCTGGACCCAGATTCAAATCAAGGTTCGTATCAGATGTTTCCTCACCCATCACAGATGCTCGAAGAAACCCTTATTTTTTTTCTAACAGCGGGTAAACCCTACTTATAATCTTCAAAAATTATAAAAACCTTAAATTTACCCTAAAATTGAAGAAATTCATCAAAACCCCCAAATTTTTTTATACCCTAATAACCCATAAACCGCAATTCCGAAAGAAAGCCCTTCCTTGATTACAATTTCATCAAAACCAGAGGGTAAAACTCTAATTTCTTAACAAATATCATGAAGCTAAGATCTAAGACCCAAATTAACAGCCTCCCAAATTGGGAAACAGCCCAAGCTTTATGTCATCGAGCTGAAGACCTTAAATACAAGAACAGATAAGCATTGAAAATGTATGGTAAAAAAACTTATTGAAGAAAAAAGAAAGACCTGGCCTTAACAAATATCTTGACCAGCAAACTCGGAGCTTTTCAAGAGCTCTGAGTCACTGACCTGGACAGTGTGAGGAACTGTTTCTGAGTTCGGCTTGGCTCGCCATGGATTGGGTCAGCGATCTTTCAACTTGTTTGGAGAGGAAGAAAAATAAAATGGAGAAATTTGCCCTTAGAGAATTCAAGTAAGCCCAAGGGAGAGAAAGAGAAAGCCCATGGAAGATTCTCTGCATTTGTACTTACTGTATAAACCATGATTGGGTATTAATAAACGGCGATGATGATTTGGATTGGAGGATTGGATGATTACGTGGCGCAATCGGAGTTGGGGACAAATGGAGATTATATTTGCCGTCAAATATTAACCCATTTAATATGCATATATTATTTAAATCACTCCTCATTCATAAATGAGTATATATTTTGTCAAAATAAATAAATAAATGAGTTCATATTTTATTTTTCAAAATAAAATTGAGTATATTTAGATTAGAGTATGTTTATGTGGCAAAAATGGAGAGATAACGTGTTTGGGAAAAAAATAGTTTGGTAAGGATAAAATATTTTTTTATATAGTGTAAATGTTACAAATATAGAAGATTTTAAATACTCTGATTGAATTTTTTTAAAGATAGAAAATACTCGGATTGATTTGGATACACGCTTTGTATTCGTAAATAGTTTTTTCACGTCTTTTAATTCTGATTTGTGATTTTTCGATGGACTTCAGTAGCTTCATCCCTTTGTGTGATTCGTTTATCGATGCAGACATATTTATTTGTATCTTTAGTTTGTTCGAGCATTGGTTATATTCTTTTATCTTATCTTTCTTTTTTGTCATTATGTGATATAGGTGGTTACTTTTTGTGTCAATGGTTAATTTAGTTTATATTTACGCTTATACTTGTACATCTTCATTATAATTATAGATATTTCTATTTTTAATAAAATTAACGGCTTTCTATAAAAAAAAATTAATATGAAGATTAATTCTTAGGGTAAAGTATAAATAGTCCCTAAACTTTTACGTCTCTTGCATTTTGGTCACCCAACTTTTGAAACTTGCAATACAATCATCAAACTTTTAGATCGTTTTCATGAAAGGTCCATGTCGTTATCTCCTGTTAGATTTTGCCGATGTCGCATTTAACTCCCGTTAAACCCCAATCTTCTTCTTATCCTCCCATTTACCCCACCTCCAGCCAACGGTGGCTCATGCCGCCATCACCATCGTCATCGGCGTCCCCTCCCGACCACACCCCTACCCTCGATTCATACTCATTGTCCATGGTTTGACCAAACATGCCTGCTAAAGTATCGATAAATTGTGAAGGGTCCTCCCCAAATTAGACCCTGCCTTCATCATAGTTGTTTGAGATTCTGATATCAAGTTTTATCATATTTCAGTCACTGAGTTAACATCTAACTCAGATTGTCATTAATTTTTAACGAAAAAATATGAGTTTGTAACGTAATGATTAGTCAGTGACTATTTTGTGACTTTTAATAGTCGCGAGACTCCTCAAAGTAACACTATATAATCGGATGATCATTTTGTAACTTTTAATAATTAAGGGACTCGATAAAATAATATCCTATAATCAAAGGATCATTTGCGTACTTTACCCATTTTTAAAAGGGTTAAAAGAGAATTATGATGTTAATAAAAATGATAAATTACACCGATAGTTGCCGATTTATTAAAGAGATTAAACCTTGGACCTAATCCTGTAAACAAACCGAATGTTCTTCGAACCGTTCGGCGGAAATTTCAATTATGTTCGTTTAATTAAATGAACGAACACGAATAAATGACTCGTTCATTCATTTATGTTCATGAACATTCGATAATCTATTCATTTATGTTTGTTGTTTATATTTATTCGTTTATATTCTGTCCAATCTCTAAACTCATTTGAAATATTAAGTCCCTTATAAATTTTAACATTAAATACATTAATATTTTAAAACCCAATTAATTTTGAACCCAAATAAAAATCCTAATATCAATTAAATAAAATATAAATCTTAAAATTATTTGGAAAGAAAAAAAAACTCTTCTCAAATATCAACTCAATTAATTTTATGTTTGTTCGTTTATGTTCCTTTACGTTCGTTTATGCTCGTTCGTTTGTGTTTGTTTGTATTAGTTTACATTCATTAATTTATGTTTGTTTATCATTTTAACGAACGAACATAAACAAATATGAACAAGCTGAATGAACATAAACAAATATGAACAAGCTAAATGAACATGAACAAAAAATTCCGTTCGTTTAGTTGTTCGTGTTCGTTCGTTTGTTTCGGTTAAAGTTAAACAAACAAACATGAACATACCATCGTTCACATTTGTTCAGTTCGTTTATAGGCCTACTTGGACCTCTTAACAAGGGAAGGGCATGAGTCGGGTCAATTCATATTTTTGGTTCACCCATCCCAAACCGAAAATTATAAATCCTTTACTTGACTCCAAAAATATATACCTTCCACCTGACTCAAATCCGACTCGATTTTTTTAGAAAAAATTATAACCAGACCCGACCCGAAAGAATATATTTATTAAAAATATTATTTTTATTCCATAAAAATAGAGATTTAATTTAAAGAAAATAATATATAGAGGAATATTATTATAATTATCCATAAATATATAAGGTAAAATTATAATTTTTTGGGCTGAATTAGGTTGAGTACTTTTCACACTAAAGTCATACCCGACCCGATTCGATCATAATCTTAAAAAACCAACCTGAAACTGATTTTTTAAATCTAATCTGATTAGATAGGGTCTAGTCGGAACCTGTCGAATTCGGGTCCCATGACCAACCCTAGTCTTAACATGTCAATATAATCGTCAAAATTTTAACGGATTATAATATTAAATAGAAAAAATATATAGTATAGACGTTGTAAATTTATTATTAGTATAGTTAAACTATAATGTAATTACGATTGTAATATAATATAAATATAATTAATTTTTACCATAACTAATCTATATTTAAATCTATTTATTAATATTATTTTATTATTTATATTATTAATATATTATTAATAATTTTTTTTATTCTTGAGTAAGTACACATTAAACATTTGTAGTACTCACCTAAAACTTTGAGGAATACCAACAATTCCTCCATTATTGTAGTTTAATTTAAAATAGGACCAAAGGTAAAATGAAGTCGTGGCAAAAGCCAAAACCCCAAACCCTTAACGATAATATAACAGACCCCACACAATTCTCCTACACGCAACCGCCATGGGTAACCGCAACCCTAATTTAAAGCTTGTTCTTAAACCAGTATACACCTTTGCTGCTCTGCTCCCCTTGGTCTGGTTCAACGAAAACACACTCCTTCGCCTCCCTGAATAAGGCCTTGTAAACTGGTGTGCCGTCGAAAGAATAGTACTCTCCCAATATTGGCTTGATCGCATTGGTTGCCTCCATTGCGTGGTAATGGGGCATCGTCGAAAACAAATGGTGAGCTATGTGAGTGTCCGTTATATTATGGAACACTTTGTTCAATATCCCGTAATCGCGGTCGACGGTGGAGAGCGCTCCCCGCAACCAGTCCCACTCCGATGAGTCGTAGTGCGGCAGTGCCGGATGCGTGTGTTGCAAGTAAGTGATCATGACGAGGAATGCGTTAACGATGAGCAACGGAACGCCGTAAACGCAGACGACCCATGTTAACCCCTAGGCCGAGACGAGACGGTACAGAAAGCACGTGACGGCGATGACCCCGGCGTCGGACACGTAGATTTGTAGCCGTTCGCGGTCGTTGTAGATGGGGCCGTAAGGATTGTAGTGGCAGGCGAATCCGTCGTAAGGCCTGCCTGCTAAGTTGAACATCAAGTAAAGAGGCCAGCCGAGGGTGAGTTGAATTGTGAGGGTGATGAATCGGCCGGGTGGATTGTCGAGGTATTTCGCCCACCATCTGACGGCGCTACGTTTCTTCGGGACGAACACTTCGTCGCGTTCGAGGGAACCGGTGTTGGAATGGTGACGACGGTGGCTATACTTCCACGAGAAGTAGGGGACGAGGAGTGATGAGTGGAAGATGAGACCGACGGTGTCGTCAACCCATTGGTAGTCGCTGAAAGCGTGGTGGCCGCATTCGTGGGCGATGACCCAAACGCCGGTCATGACGCAGCCTTGGACGGCCCAATAGACGGCCCAGGCGACGGAAGAAAGGGGTTGTGGGAGGTGGTTGATGTAAGTGGTGGCTACGTAGTAGAAGATGGAGATTAAGATGAGGTCGTAAATTAGATACGAGAAAGAGCGGAAAAGCGAGCGCTTGAAACAGTGTGGTGGGATGGCTCTTTTGATGTCGCTGAGAGAGAAGGGTGGTTTGGATATTGGGACTCTCTTCAAGGACCCAGATGGCGGAACCGACATTCTGCCACCGGCACCCATTGTTCCTCTACCTGGAGAAAAGATCAAAGATGGCAAAATGGTTAAAGACCAAATACAGTTTCATGCTTGTAAATCGACCAATTATAACTGCAAAAGTACACCCGATAATAAAATTAGGGTAAATTATATATTTATTATCTAAATTATTAATTTTAGTACGTTAATTTTTATTTTTTTTTAATATCATTTTTAAAGTTTAATTTTTATTTTATTTTAATATAAGTTCAAAATTTAAATTTTATAAAAATTAAAAGTTTAAGCAATAAAAATAACTAAAACCGATAGTTTAAATACTACAGATCCAAACTCGAAGAGAAGAAGACGTCGGAGAATTCAAAGAAAACAAGATTACGACAACAACAAAAATTCAAATCTGAGCTTCAAAACAACATAGATCTAAAATAAATCAATGAATTTACTACTATAAATAACAGTACAAAACAACAACGTACAATAAGAAGAATAAATCAATAACAGCCTGAAGAAATCTGGAAAAAGAAGAAGAAGAGATATTGAATTACCTGAAAATGCAGATAGACAATCAAATCGATCTTTGATTATTTTTTTCTAACTCTTAAATCTCTGGTGGCCGATTGGACGCTCTAGGCCTGATATTTAAGCTTTTCTGTTCCCAGCTTTCCCTCCTTGGATGGGTGGATCCATCAGCTGCTCTTCTTTCCATTCCCTCCACGTGGCTTTACGTTTTCCGTCGATAGACAGCCGTACACGATGGCTGTTTCGTGGATTGGCTAGGACCTTTGCTTCTCGAAAAATATCTTACACGAAATTTGAGTTAATTGCATTATACTTCTTCAAATTATGAATCTCATTTTAAATTAGTCTCTAAACTTATAAATGTTCTAGTTTCATCCTTAAATTATGGTTATCACTCTAAATTAGTCCCGAAGATTTTGAACATTTTAGTTCCATCCACAAACTATATCCTTCGTTCTAAATTGGTCTCCAAACATTTTTAAGATTTCAATTTCATCCCAAATTATATGTATATACTAATCACACTCCATGTTAATAAAAACGTTAGGTCAAGTTATATTAAATTATGGTTAAAATACCCTCTTTGATCAACCATTATAAATCATATGCCTCGTGGAGTTGGATGTGTTAGAGACAATCAAATACACTCTTTTAATAGTTAATATATTAACGTGATTATCAGATATTATTTAAATATATGAAAAAAGTTTAATGTGCATTTAACAAATCAAAGATTTTAAAAAAAATATAATTATATAAATTTGTTATATTTGAATCTTTGATCAATCATTATAAATTATATACCAATTGATTATCCATGTTAATAAAAACGTTATGTCAAGTTATATAATTGTACGTTTGAAAAATTTAGGGACCAATTAAAAAGTTTAGTTTTATTCGGATTTAGGACCGTTGGATGAGTAAAAATAAATGATTGAGATTAACTCATTATTTTTTTTCCAGTCAGGGGCAGATTCACTAAGCCCCCTCAGGGGACCAAGTGCATCCTCATTATATTAGTAAAAATGTGAAATTTAGTTTAATATGTTAAAGAAAATGGAAAAAATAAATTTTTTTGCATACCCATTATTTTTAAGAAAAGAGTATTAAAATTTGGATCAATTTTTAAATTTCTAGATCCGTCACTTTTTAAGTCAATATCTTCACATTTCTTACTATTAGTTTCAGCCACCTATTTTCACTCATCAATTATCTTAAATCTGTGTAAAACTAAAAGAATTTTACATTGTGTAAATAGATGGTCCGTATTGATTTATTATTTTTCTAAGTGAATATCTTCATATATTTTACTGTTAATCTAAATTATCTATTTTCACTCATTTAATATTCCTAAATATAATTAAAACTAAAAAAAGTACATTCTTTAAGTATATATTATCTCATATATATATATATATATATATATATATATATATCATTTCGATGCTATCTTCTATTTGTAAACATTTTAAAATATAAAATAATCAAGGCTAACTTCTTTATCAAACACGTTTTTGAAATGATTTTATTTACGACGAAGGTAATTAAATGCAAGTTGGAAGTGAGTGAGAGAGCTCACTTTTTCCTCCTGCATCTACCTTTGGCACCATGGGAATCACGTGCTTGATAAAGATACCTAGGGATATGAGTCGCCATGTTGTTTCTGGTCCGTTCAATTTGATCTGGCTATGAGTCGGATGTTGTTTTTCGTCCATTCATTTTGATCCGATAAATATAATATTTTATCTTATATCTAATTTGATTAAATTTAATGTAATTTTATTCGATTTGAAACTCGAATGTAAATATATTATAATTCTTATTTTTATTTGATAAAATAAAGATCTAATTGAAAAAAAATAATATAAAAAGATATATTATTGTAATTATCTTTAAATATATAAGATATTATTATATTTTTTTTGAGTAAGATTAAATTAAATAGTTTTCACTTTAAATTCAATCCCAATCTAAACCCGAGATATTTTGTTTTAAAATATGACCTAATAATATGATATTGGATCTAAATTTGCTGAACTCGCATCCCATACCCATCCCTACAGACACCATGTTTGATTTCAAATTTATATGTCTGATATTATCCATAATAACTATAAAATAATCTTAATTATGAAAATAAAAAATATAATCACACACGTAATCATGTCAACTCATCCCTCCTCCTAAAGTTATAAGAGTGTATTTGACAGTTTCTAACCATATTCAACTCAAAAGGTATATAATTTGGGTTGTTATGAGCTTAAGGAAAGACATTACAGGAAATATTAATATTTTTTTTAATATTTCCGATAGAGCGCTACTTAAAATGTTATTTTTTCTATCAGAAATGTTAATTTCGCTACCTAAAATGAATATTTCTGATATTAACATTTTCGGCAGGAAAAAAAAACATTTTAAGTAGTGTTCGATATTAATATTTTCGATAGAAAAAAATAACATTTTAGGAAACACTCTGCCGGAAATATTAAAAAATATTAACATTTTCGATAGCGTCTTTTCTTAGCCTTATATTAAGTTGCATTTCCTTACGCATCCTCATATAATTTATAACGATTGATAAAAAGATTTAAATATAACACATTTATATAATTTTATATTTGTTAATTCATTGATTTGTTAAATGCACACTGAATTTTTTTTCATATATTTAAATAATATCTGACAATCATATTAATATTAATTATTTCAAAGTTAAAACTAGGGATTGCAAAAAAAAAATCTGAACACGACGGGAAAAATCAAAAATCGAATTAAACGGGGACGGAAAAAAATCGTTTATGCTAAACGGGGACGGGGACAGGGAAAAATTGTTTATGTTAAATGGGGACAGGGACGGGGTTGGGTTTAATAATCCCCGTCCCGATTACCCGACCCGATATCGGCTCGATAAATATTAAAAATAATAATTATATATATATAATATTAATAAATTTAATTTAAATTAAAAAATATATAATATTTATATATTTAATTTAAATATATATACCCGACCCGATACCCGTTTAAATAACCGTTTATGCTAAACGGGATACACGTTTCCCCGCGGTTTTTTTCGGATTACCCGATGGGGATCCCCGCAGTTTTTTAAGCGGAGATGGATACGGATTTTTTAAATGAGGACGGGGATGAGAGGACCAATACCCGGCTTGAACCCGACTCGTTGCCATCCCTAGTTAAAACTAAATTTAATCTCAAGCAAAACTTTTGAAATTTATTTTTTTTATACATTTCGAATATTCAATCATACAAATTCCAACTAATCCGTACATATATCATTATCATATAATAAATAAATATAGATCTAAAATTTCAAATTCATTTTTTTCACGTTTAAGAAATTAAATTTAAGCTTCTTATGGACCTATTAATTATTTTTCTACAAATCACATTGATAGTGTTTTATTTATTTTAGGTATAACAAACTTGTAGCGGATACAAGGTTTGCTTAAGGTGGACACGTGTTACGGGTAGTGACGGACTCAGGACAAAAATTCAGGGGTTGCAAAAATTTCAGGTGTGTCACTTTTGAGAGGTGACATTTGTATTATGGGTGACACTTGTGGAGGGGTTACCTGTGATACCCCGAGAACCATGGAGGTTCTCCCTTGGTTACGGGCTGATGCATTAAACCACTATGGGTCGAGTGCATCCTATTAATTTAGGAAAACGGTTAATTTAATTTAATGTGTTAAAAATTAATTTTTTATATACATTATTTTTTAATAAATAATTAAAATGTTAGATCTCAATTTTTAAATATTTGGATACGTGACTTTGCCATATCGGAATCAATTATTGTTACAGCAATATGGTTGACACTTGAATTAAATTTTTTTAATCATTTGTGGTGTGATATATTCAAGATTTAATATTATTAATTTTAGAGTTTAGATGTAGAATTTGGGGATTAGATTTTTTTCTTAACAATTGATGACGCACATACACCCGTAGATGTCGTTGTTTGAACTCGGGACCTTTAAGAACAATAGCATTCTTATTAAGTATTAACCACTGAAATCACTTGTTGAATTCTGGTAATGTTTATTTATATGTATTTATATAATGACTAAACACCATGAAAAAATTCATCATCAAAGTTTTGATTAGTCTAAAGTGAATACAATGTAATATATGTTCGAAAAACTTTTAACCATTTGACAATGAATATTCATACACATCTGTAAATGTCGTGCTCGAACCTAGAACATAACAACACTCTCTTAATTATTGAGATCACATATTCTTGCGCAACAAAGATACATAATGTTTAAAATTGAATATAAATTTCATTTGATTATATAAATATAACACATATCATCCATTATTATAATATGTAGATTTCGTTTAATTAAGTGTTTTCATTTTTTATGAGACAAATGAAAATTAAATAATTATATTGTTTAATTTTATAATTAATATTACTTCCTATGTCCCATTTATTTTGTTAATTGGTGACTTTTTAAAAGTTAAAATTTTGAAATTTTGACCATAATTA